CTCTTTTTCCTTTATTCATTTCTCTGTTTTGTGTTGCTAATAAGTGGATGTTTTTCTTCTTCCTTTGAACTTCATCTTTGCTCTCCCAATGAAGCTTTTGCTTTGCTTAAGTTCAAGCAATCCTTTAAAATTATCTCCGAAGATTATATTAGAGAGTGGTGTGGTAGAGTTTCTTTCCCAAAAATGTCGTCTGGGAATGAGAGTAGGTGTAATGACCCTAAAGGTCATTTTTGGAAATTTTCATAAAATGACCGTTTTACCCCTCCCAATAGTTGCCTCGAGTCCTAATTGTTGTATTTTCGAAGTTGGTTTGAAGGAAAATTGATGAAAAGTTGAGTTTTTAAGAGTTAAAGTTTGGTTAAAAGTGCTATTTCGAGTCATTTGGAGTTTCGAGACTCGAATAGGATTTCCGTCGATTCCAGCAGTTTTAGAATGTCGAAACGGGTCTATGAGAATTTACTGAGTCAAATTTGGAGTTAAAACGAAGATTGAGGTCCTATGTTGCAAAAATTGTGAAATTTTGATCAAGAGTTGACTTTGGTCAACAAATGAGGTTCCGGTGCTCGAAATGGAATTTCGAGGGCACCGTTGGATTCAGGGGGTGATTCTAAGTCTAGAATGAGTCTTGGTTGAATTTTTAGAGGCCCTGAGTGCGTTTCGAGTTTTTGAGCCTAAAGTTAGTTTCTTGACGCCTTATCGGATACCGGGTCAAGGAGACATCGAATTCAAATTCCGACGATTTCATTGAGTCCGAAATGTCATTTTCAAGCTAGTAGCATATTTGGTTTGTGTTCGGAAAGTGCCAAATGAGTTTTGGGTGAGCTTTTAAGCTTCTTGGATGCTTTGACACTATTTTAGCAAATTATGGCAACTAAAGGGTTCATTATTAGTTTTAAAGGTCAAAAAATTATTCCGAAAGTTCTGAAATTTTGAGCATGAATTATAGGACTTATCTGCAAATTTTGGGTGCATTTTCGCTAACCCGAGATTGGACTTTTATCGCAAATAAGAAATAATTGTTTACCGAGTAGAAATGATATTTGACTGGGCAACAAGCATGAAATTGAGCTCTGATTGAACGAGCAGGTCCGTATCATTATTTAAGACATTTACAAAAAAAGAATCGGGTCATTTCACTATCGTATGAGGAAATTACGGCCTTTTTAGTGAAAGATTAACTGCTGTTTTTCTGGTGCATAACAGCCATGTACTGTTATAAAAATCTTAGACTGTGTTCATTTGGTATTTTGAGCATATCGGGAGTTCTAGAGATCGGAATGGAGTGATTCTTATGGGTTTCTTCTTGAATTAATATGAGGGTTAGTATTCAATGTTCAATTCGACATTTTCTCATAATTTCTTTATCTGGTTTTTTTTCCTATTCGTAAATCTCTTGGGAAAAATTGGGGTTTTATCGATTTGGACTCCCTTTTTGATGAAAAAGGTATATTTACGATCCTTATGTTATGGGTAAACTGATTTTAACATAAAATTATTGATTCATTGATTATTTTCATCATATTAACCGCGTACAATTTGAACTTTTCCGGTAAAGTTAAAGTTTGATAAATTAAGAATTTCAAGGTCAATCTTAACTCTGTTTTTGATGAAATTTCATATTTGAACTTATCTAAGCATGGGTAAGATGTTTTTCAAGAGATATTTCATTTTCGAGTCGGGGTTTCGGATCCAAATATTTTAGGCTTCTTCAAGAACGTGGATTTTCCTTCAAATTGAGTTTGTGAATTGATTTCAACTCCGTTTTCAAATTGGTTTTCACCATTAGCTTCCAAATACTTTAAGGATCATTTTACATCAAAAATTTCCAGATTTGGGTATCATTTTTCGGTATGAGACTTTTGGACCGTTTTGCCCTTTTCCCCTAAATTTCTTGATTTTTGTGTCATTGGACTCAAATTGTGATTGTGAATAATTATTTGAATAGATTATCGTGATCCGGATTATACTCGGAAAGGAAAGGCTCAAGTCAAGTAACTTTTGGAGTTCGTTTTAAGGCAAGTGGCTTCCAAACTTTGTAAAACTCTTAGACTACGCATGACTATTTTCCTAATTATGTTGGGGAGTAATGGGGATTGAGGATGGTTTTTATTTGTTGATTGAAATTGTTGTAACTGAAAGATAGGGAATAAAACGAGCTAAATGTGTTATATGTGACTTGAATTTGTTGAATAAGTCATGTGATAACTGATATTGAGGGGATAGAAGAGCATGAGTAGGCTATGATTGATACAGACATTGATGTTGAGACAGATGATGTGTAATACTATAATGTGGTCGTGATATGGTTGTGATTGAGACAGGTGATGTGTAATACTATGATATGGTTGTGATTAAGACAGGTGATGTGTAATACTATGATATGGTTGTGATTGAGACAGATGATGTGTAATACTATGATGTGATCGTGATATGATTGTGATTGATGACATGTGCATATTCATTATTCATCCCATGTGTGAACTATCTGTTGCATGAGTTCTGAGACACTGATATGAGGATGGATGGATATGAGACACAGTTGAGACTAGCTCCAGCTAGAGATATATGAGATGGACTAGCTCCAGCTAGAGATATATGAGATGGACTAGCTCCGGCTAGCGATTTGGATGCCGATGGGATCTGGTTCCGGCGGTGATACATGGTCCATGTGTGGCCCCCATGGGTTCTGATTTGAGTATTCAGCGCGGACGGATTACGTCAACAGATGTGTATCGTATGACAGACATGCATCACGACTACATGACATCATTATTGCATTTTGCATCGCATTTGCCTTATCTTTGTCTGTGATGTGTGGATTGTATCGGTTTACCCTTCTTATATGGAATTTGATCTACTTGCTCTTATTTGTTGATCTGAGGTTGATGAGGATATATTGTTGGTTCTGGCTGTTGAATATGATCTGTTTAGTATAGGTTGGTTGGTTTGCTGCTAGATTGAAGTTTCGGTGGTTCGGTTGGGATTGAAAGGAGTTGTTTGTAGCTGCTAGTTTTGCTTAGTTTAGAGTTACTTGCGAGTACCTATGGTTTTCGGTACTCACCCTTGCTTCTACACATTTGTGTAGGTTGACAGCTCTCTCTCAGATTCGGCTTAGTAGTTTCTTTAGCAGATTGAGCTTCGGGACATACTCGAGAGGTAGCAGTTCAATCCAGACGTGCCCTTGAGTTATCTTTACTTTCAGTTTTGTTCTATTCGAGAACTATACTCTGAGACTTGTATATTTTTATTCGAATTCTGTATTTAGAGGTTTGTACATGTGACAACCAAATTCTGGGTAGTGTTGAGTCTTAATTAAAGTCTTCCACTTATTTATTATCTTTTATTCTCGTATTTCTACTTCTCTATCGTTGTGGTTGGGTTAGGCTGACGTGTCCGGTGGGAATTGGACATGTGCCATCACATCCGGATTTGGGGTGTGATAGTAGGGATTGTTGCACTTGGGATGGAGTCACGTGTGACATGTTAACAGGTCATGTTATCGGGTTGGAACTTAGTTGCATCCTGTTTGGTGGAAGTATTCATCCCAATAGCAGCCTTTTCTAACTTCATTGTCTTCAGACACTAAATCTTGCTTACAATGACTTTTATCCTTCTTCCATCCCAAATGGCATTGGCCGATTGACGAATTTGAGGCATCTCAACCTTTCTGACTCTTCCTTTTATGGTAAAATCCCAAGAGAAATATCATACCTTTCTAATTTGGTGTCGCTTGAACTTTCTGGTTATGGATTACAACTTGATCAGAGAACATTTGAAACAGTGCTTCAGAACTTGACAAATCTAGAGGTACTATCTCTCTCTCCTGTCAACATCTCATCATCGATACCTATGAAAATGTCTTCTTCCTTAAGGTACATGGATCTTGTAGATACTAATCTGTGAGGTGTTCTCACAGAGAGCTTTTTCCTTCTGCCAAACTTGGAAACGCTCAAATTGAGTGACAATCATTTTCTCAAAGGAGTTTTTCCAACGCTCCACCCGAGCAACACTCTGTTGGAGTTAAGTATTGCAAACACAGGTATCTCCGGTGAGTTTCCTGATTCAATTGGCACCTTGAGTTTCTTGAATATCTTGAACCTCTATGGATGTCAATTCTCGGGTTCAATTCCTGATTCCGTTGGCAACCTAACACAAATTAGGTAGTTGGATTTTAGTGATAATAATTTCACCGGCCCTATTCCTTCCACAATCTCTAAGCTGAAGCAGCTCACAAGTTTAGATCTTTCTGATAACAGCTTCATCGGTTCATTTCCTTCTACAATTGTAACCTTGACACGTCTTCAACACTTATACTTGTCGAGTAATTCCTTATCTGGTCCACTACCTAGCAACGCAAGCATGCTTCAAAAGCTAAACTTTTTGGATTTGTCTAACAACTCACTGAATTGTACGATACCATCTTGGGTGTTTAGCCTCCCTTTGCTATATACATTGTGGGTCGGTCATAATAGATTTAGTGGACTAGCCGATGAGCTCAAAACAAACCCAACATTAGAAGAACTGCATTTAAGCCATAATCAATTCGGTGGTTCTTTTCCTCAATAACTTGCGAATCTAACAAACCTTTCTAACCTTGATATTTCATCAAATAACATCACCGGTGATGAGGGAATAAACATCACCTTTCGTAGCCTAAAAGTTTTGCAGTTATCATCTTGTGAACTGAAGGATTTTCCACACTTCTTGAGAAATGTAAAGACACTTTGGGTCTTGGATATTTCTAACAACAAGATTCATGGTCAAATCCCTAACTGGTTTAGCGGCATGAGGTGGGACTCATTGCAGTTCCTAAATCTTTCGTATAATTTATTGGCAGGCTGCCTACCACAAAATCATTACCATAATCTAGAGTATCTTGATCTTAAATTTAATTTGTTCATGGTCCACTACCTTCATCCATTTGTAACATGAACATCCTTAGCCTTCTGGATTTATCACACAACTATTTCAATGACTCGGTTCCAAGTTGCTTGGGTAGCATGGCTAATCTAACCGTGTTGGACATAAGAAGGAACAATTTCACTGGGACTCTACCATCCTTTTGTGCGGGTAGCACTTCATTGACTACCATTGTTGTAAATAGTAATCGATTTGAAGGACATGTCCCTGTGTCGTTACTCAAATGTCATAGTTTAGAAGTCCTTGATGTGGGGAACAATGCTATAAATGACACGGTTCCAGCTTGGTTAGGAACTCTTCAGGAGCTACAAGTCCTTATATTAAAGTCGAACAAGTTTCATGGACCTATAAGTACTTGTAAGACTAAGTTTTGCTTTCCCAAGTTGCGAATTTTCGATCTTTCTTGTAATTAATTCACTGGCTCACTTCCTGCAAAAGTTTTTGGAAACTTCAAGGCAATGATCAAATTAGATGGCGAAGACACAAGAGAGATCAAGTACATGAAACCATCTGAGAAGTCATTTTACATAATGTATGAGGTCTCGGTGAGATTGGTGATCAAAGGCCAGGAAATCGAGCTAGAAAGAATCAACACAATTATGACAGCCATACATCTCTCAAGCAACCATTTTGAAGGTGTCATTCCGAAAACACTAAAGAATCTCAACGCACTTTGGCTACTCAATTTATCCCGTAACAATCTCAAAGGTGATATTCCAATGGAATTAGGGCAATTGAATACGCTTGAAGCTTTAGATCTCTCTTGGAATCGGCTCACTGGAAAGATTCCACAGGAATTGACAAGAATGAACTTTCTGGCATTCTTAAACCTCTCTCAAAATCTTCTTATTGGACCAATTCCTCACGGTCAACAATTCAACACATTTGGAAATGACTCGTATGGTGGCAACCTTGATTTATGTGGTCTCCCTTTATCGAAGAAATGTGGAACAAGTGATTCATCGCATGTTCCTCAACCAATGGAGTCCGAAGAAGATGAAGATGAGTCATATTTCTTAAGTGGATTTACTTGGGAATCCGTAGTCATAGGCTACAGTTTTGGACTAGTTGTTGGAACTACCATGTGGAGTCTCATGTTTAAATATCGTAAACCAAAATGGTTTGTGGAATTTTTTGATGCCATCGTGCCTCACGAAAATAGAAGGCCAAAGAAGAGAGCTTAGAGACAACGGACTTAATGTTTGAAAAATCTCATCAATATGCATTTGATATTTTGTTCTTTTACTTTGTCTGAATTTCTCTTTGTTATTTGCATCTGTTAGATACCTCTGAATTATTTTTCGCATTTGCTTGGACCACTGAATTGAAGTTATAAAAACAGTTTTCTTTGCTTGTGCATCACTTTATTTTATCTTCTTAATTTGATCAGTACACCTTTATCTTGAGTCGAGGGTCTATGGAAACAACCTCTCTGGCTACCTTCTCGAGGTACACACGACCCTCCTCATACCCTGCGTTTGTTGTTGTTGTTGTTACTCTGTTTCACTGCTAATACATTTCTGTTAAGATGTATATTGAATGCCTAAAGACATAGTATCGTTCAGTGACAAATTATACCTAAAGAATAACGTGCAAACCAGTCGTTACAGACAACTCTTAACTTGACTTTAACTGATAACTATGACCTTTGACTTCTGGTATGCACAAGTAGACATTTAAATTTATAAAAAATTGAACAATTAGACACATTCGTCCTACATGGCACCTTACATGACAATTTTGTGTCCTGCGTGGCATCCTACATGTATAATGATTTATGCCACATAGGATACATGTGTCTACTTGTTCAATCTTATACAAATTTAAGTGCTTATTCGTTCATTCCCAAAGTTGGAAGACATAGTTATCAGTTGAAGTCAAGTTAAGGGTCGTGCTTATGTATTATGCCTAAATGATTTGTGGAAATAGGCTTAAAGACTTTGGTGGAATATTGATGGAGTTTCCCTCATTAACTTAATGTGAAAAGTCTTGTGGAAAATTATAGAATGTACCGAGCTAACAAGTTTGAAAACAACACAAAGACAACTAATCACAAATTTCTAATAAAATTTCTCTGCAGGTGGAATGATCTTCACCAATTTATTCAAAACATACTACACCAAAAAGATTTTTAGCAGCAACAGTTTAATTGCAATTAAATATGTATTTTTAGTGGCATTTAGTACTTTTTGTAAATGTCTTTAATGTATAGTGATATTGGATCCAATGACAATTAACTAGTGTCGGCAGTGGCGGAGCCAGAAATTTCAGCAAGGGTGTTCAAGTATTATTTTTTAATTAGTGAGTTGAATGTTATTTGATTAACCTAGGGATTCTACCATGAACGATCTCAACATTTGTCAATATCAAATATAAACAATCGAGTTTTTTCTTTCTTTTTGATGCATTGATTTTATATGATAAAAATATATAATTATTGTTTTTAAAGTGAAATATTGATAGAATAAATGCGTCTAGCTTTACGAAATATAAATCACACCAGTAGAAAAATAAAAATCTTAAAAAATAAAGATAAAACGCATGTATTGATTTTAGCTTTTGGGTTTAAAGTTGTTAACATATATAAACACAAATTTTTTAAGGTAAAATGTTGGCTTTTTTGTTTTCACCATTCGAAAGTGCATTATATCCTAGATAAAAATTAGAAATACATGATATCTGAATATTCAAAATTATAATAATGTATTCATATATGTAAGAAACTTGACGACATAATAATGGTGTGTGAGGTTGTGTTGTGCTCTCAATATTATTAAAATTGTAATATTAATAATTAAGAAACTTGAGGAACATAATAATGGTGTGTGAGGTTGTGTTGTGCTCTCAATATTATTAAAATTGTAATATTAATAATTAAGAAACTTGAGGAACATAATAATGGTGTGTGAGGTTGTGTTGTGCTCTCAAAATAAAAACAAAAATGTTGTGCGCTCTGTGGGATTCGAACCAGCGCACCTCGGGTGGTAATGAACACACATGACCATTGTGCCACAGAAGATTTTATGTCAAGGTTGTTCAATATTAACTATTTATCCCTTAAACTCAGAATTTTCCCTCTCTATACGGTGTAATTTTCCGGCGAAGGGTGTTCAGCTGACCACCCTTGGATGACTGTAGCTCCTCCCCTGAGTGCCGGTAATGGCATTATCACTCTTTATTATTGCTACTAAAAGTTATTTTTGTTGTAGTGACATAGGAGTACTAATTAAGCAGGAAAACACATCAAACAAAAATTTGAATAAAAAGCAAATAAAAGAAAAAAAAAATTCAACAAGTAGGGTCTAAGGAGGGTAAAGTGTGTGCACACTTTATCTCTACGAGTGGTTGCTTTTGATAGACCCTTGCCTTAAAAATAAAGCATAGCCAAGAATTCAGAAAAAGGAAAGACAAAAATAAGAATAGTATCAACAACGAAATAATAAGGAAAGAAGAGCAATACAAACATACAGACAAATGAATAATATGAAAACAAAATAAAGCGATATTTGAAGCACAAAAAACACAAGTGATACACGAAGAACAAGAAACTACAAAAATAATACACAAGAGACAAACCAATCTCCATAAATTCTACCCGGACTCAATTTATAACAAAAATCACTATTAATTTTAATAGAGACCCTTAATTCTTGCAACTAATAAGTTTTGTTAAAAAGTACAAAAGATTATCATTGAATTTACCCCCAATTTTCTTTAATATAAAGGGTAATACTAAATGGCCAGAAAATTTGGTCATAATTTGATTAGAAATTTAAAAAAATTATAATATCTTTTTTATTTTAAAATAAACTGATCTTTTTTCCATTTTTTAGTTAAAAGGTATTAAAGTTAAAAGGATAAAACTGTTTTAAAAGGTAAAATAACATAGGTAAATTCCATTCTAGCCAAATTCTGGCCAAAAGGATTTTTCCTAATATAAATACCCTATGTCCCTAATTACTTGTCCAAAAATAATGATTAACATAGTGAGTTTACCGTTTTATCCCTATTAATTATGAAGTAGATGAATTAAACATGGAAAAAAATCACCCCATATACACATTTAAGAGTAAATATTACGGGTTTTAAATCTACTTTTAAAAAATTCTTGCTTATAACGGATTATTTGCAGGTTATGACATATCAATTAAATTTAATTTTATTTAAAAATCAAATTATATTTATTTAATAAATTATTAATCTATTTAAAGGTTATTATTATTAATTAATAATAGGTAATTAATTTGATTTCACTTCCTTTTTTTAGAACTAAAATTTTCAATTACCCAATTTTAGGGATTTTCTCCATACACGTTTTGTTTACCGTTACCATCCCCATTCGTCAATCCCACCCCCCTCCCCCACGCTTATTCACTCCTAGATGCCACAACCCACTATCCCACTTTCACCATTGTTTCTCATCAAGTCTAACTTCAAAATAGTCCACCCCTCTCCCCCACGATTATTCCTCATCATGTTTAAGAAATCCATTGAAACTCCTCGAAAGAGTCCCAGATTTGATGGAACTTCAATTGATGATGTTCATGCTCCATCGTTCAATATATTATCCCAAACACCCCCGCCTAAAACTGTTGAAATTCCGGCGACCGGTGGTTCCTCTCGATCGAAGAATCAAAAAGATAAAAATAATGAAGCGAAGGAAAGTGTGATTCCGGCAAATCAAAAGGGGAAGAAGAGGAAGGGGAAGACACTTGTTGAAACCCCTCCTGATTCTGATTCCGATTCCGATTCCGATTCGGATTTTGTTAGTCAAACAAAAAAAAAACAAAAAAATCAACAAATGTTGAAGTTGCTCAAACATCAAAACCATCTACAAGAAGAAAAACAAAGAAGAAGGAATCGGAATTACCAAAATACAAAAACCCCCCAAAAAATTGTAAGGGTAAGTACTTTATTTAATTTATTTTCACATTACTCAAAATAGTTATTTTTTTATATCACATTATTCTTATTATTGTTTTCAAAACAATTGTTTGTGTGAAATTTGTTCCAAATCTGAAAAAAATATTTATGTATTTGACTATAAAATTTGGGTGATGTATTTTGTATGAATTATGAAAAAAATGTTTATGGATTTGACTATAAAATGGTATGAATTATGTATTAACATTAATGTTATTGCATCTTAATTGTGTATAAACATATGAATTATCAGCAATGGTGTTTTTGACATGGGAGCTGTTGAAATCTATGCAAAATACCATCGTGAAAGGTATGCCACAATCCTGTGGCACTATGGAAAAACAAAGAATGAGGATGGCGCAATCACTACTGGTACGGTTGCTAGCAAATTTGGTGGACCTCGCATAGCAAAAGAACATGTTCCAGATATCACCAATTATCCTACACCAAGACCACCGACAAGAAATTTGAAATACTTCATTGCAGCTTCTACTTTTTAAGAATTACATATAATTTTTTTTAACTTTTGGATAATTTTTTTCTGTTTAACTTTTGAATAATTTTTTTCTATTTAAGTTTTTGATGATATATAATACCATATGTTATCTTCTGTTCAGATACCATCTACACATGAATTAATATTTGGCTATTATAATTTCAGAACACTGGTATTATACAGACTTCATACAAATTGTATTCACTATTTAAGTATCATTGTGTTTCTAAGTAGTAAACTCATTGGATGAAACGTGTATGAAAATTGATTTATACGTATATGGCTATGATTTTAATATAAGGGGTTGGGTATTGTATGAATTGTGATATGATTTTTATATACAAATGTTATGAATTGTGTTTTCACATTTGTCTAATTTTCTTTTGAATCTTCATATGGTATGAGTGATTAAATTGGTATGAAAATGATATCAATTGTCAAACTAGTGATTTTTTCTAAAAATGTCACACTGTAATGACCCATTTGGTCGTTTTGAGTACTAGAGCTTTTCATTTCAAAAAATACTTTCCGATAGATTCTAAATGGATATTTTGGACTATTCATAACTACAATTATGAAATTAGTGGGGTAGTTTTAATAATATACTTAGTTGGTGGTTATAGAAGATAGCATTAAAATTAATAGTGGGTCACTTTTACACTTTTATAATTAGTCTGTAAATAGTTAGGGTAGTAAATAATCTGCAAAAGAAAGAAGAAAGAAAAGGAGGCGAGAAATTTTTTCAACGGGGTCGACCTAGAGCGA